AAAAAAAAAAGAGAGACACTTGAAGATAAAATTTAAAAGCAAGTGGAATTGCGGCATCATTAAGCTGACACTTATTTGTCTCCATCACTATCCCTACCTAAAATCAAGGTCATCATACAATTCTCCTAGTCATTGTTGACTGAGAGCACCCCATATGAAATATAAGCATGCAACAATATTTTTATTTTATATAAAACAAAAGGTCTTCACTTACCCAAAGGAGGCTGAACCACAGTAAGATTCACAGTTACAGACTTGTGGGCATGCAGCCCTTTCATGGTAGCCACACAAGTCAAAGTCCCGTTGCCCTGTGGTGTGAGAGTCAGGACGCTCACTGCACTTTGGGGATTGTTGGGCTCCGGAACAGAATGATAGCTCGAGTGGCTCACGGGAACGCCGATATCCCAGGAAATACCTGGGGGCGGGATCCAGCCCCATGCATGGCAACTCACATTACAAGGTTCATCCTCCGCGACTACAAGGTTGCCTCCGGGAATGAGCAACGCCCCCATAACTAAAGAAGAAAAGAGAAATGTTCCAAAGGGGTGACCATACCTCTGTTGGTTTCAGGCTGTCTTTAATTTTCCCCTTGGATTGCATTTCACGAGAGCCATCTTCCCGAGGCCAAACTGGCTGTGTCTGTATCGAGAACCTTAACTCAGGTTTGACCTGTGTCTTTATTTAGACCTGCCAGGTTCATGGAAGAAGGGGAGGTTGCTCACCAGAGAACATATAATTCCAGAGGAAATGAATAAATAAAAATCAGGATCCAGGAGAATATGAATTCTATGGGAAAGAGAGGGCAAGTGTGCCTGCCAGAGTAGCCTACTCAGTCACTCAAGTGAAGTTGCAAAGTTGTCCTGGGCTCTCCTGGGAGCAAAAGCAAAAAGGGAAAAAAAAACCTTTATACATTCTTTCCATTGTCAGGAGAACGTATCTCAGGGTCATGGGAAGCAAGTTGCTCCTGGCCTTTGGTCAGTCAGATTCATTTCATTTTATTTTGGGGGTCATACATTTCTAAACAGAACTTCCTATAGTATTTCCTTAAAATGTTTTTCCAGTTGCAAATGAATTCAAAATCAAATCTAATATAATTATAACAATAATTGCCCAAAATTATGTACCAGAATATAATAGATAAATTAAAAACCTTACGGTTTTTATGAATGGCCTACCTGCATATGTCAATGTTCACACTATAAACAACCTATACGAAAATAGGACTTGTGTGTGCTAATATTAATAAAATAACCTGAGGGTTGGCTCCGGTAAAGACACAGCCTTAGTGAAACATCCAAGCGTCCAAATTAAAATATCCTCCCTGTTTTATAATATAATGGGAAGAACACTGGACTAAGAATCAAAAACTCAGTCTTGGGGCACCTGAGTGGCTCAGTCAGTTAAGCAGCCAACTTTGGTTCAGGTCATGATCTCAAGGTCCATGAGTTTGAGCCCTGCGTCGGGCTCTGTGCTGACAGCTCGGAGCTGGGAGCCTGCTTCAGATTCTGTGTGTGTCTCTCTCTGCCCCTCCCCTGCTTGCACTCTCCCTCTCTCTCAAAATAAAATAAATAAACATTAAAAAAAAAACCCTCAGTTCTCAGTCAAATTGCCCTCACCTGGGCAATCACTCTCTGTTTTTAAAGGTCAGATGAAACAATCTGACTAGATCAGTGGTTTTCAAATGTTTTTGTTTCAGTACTCTTAAAAATCACTGAAGACTCCAAAGACATTTTGTTTATGTTCTATCAATATTTACCATACTTGAGCGGCACCCGGGTGGTTCAGTTGATTAAGCATCTGACTCTTGATATTGGCTCAGGTCATGCTCTCATGGTTCCTGAGTTCAAGGCCCACATCAGGTCTGTGCTGACAGCATGGAGACTGCTTGGGATTCTCTCTCTCTCTCTCTCTCTCTCTCTCTCTCTCTCTCTCTGCCCCTCCCCTGCTTGTACGCTCACTCTCTCCCTCTCTCAAAATAAACAAATAAACTTTAAAAAATATTTACCATACTTGAAATTAGAATATTTATTTTTAAAGATATTTAAAATAACAATGACAAATCACTACATGTCACCGTGGATTACCATATTATGATGAAAAACACCTGTGTTTTTAACCCAACATAAATTATTGAGAAGAATATCATTGTTTTAGATTTCTGCAAATCTCTTTAACGTCTAGCTGGATTCTCATATCTGGTTGTGCATTCAAGCTGTTGCAATATATTCAATAAATGGCTTTACTGGAGTATATTTTTAAAACTGACTTCACATGGAGGTGCCTGGATGGCTCAGTTGGTTAAGCCTCCGACTTCAGCTCAGGTCATGATCTCACAGATCATGAGTTCGAGTCCCGCATTGAGCTCTGTGCTGACGGCTCAGAGCCTAGAGCTGCTTTGGATTCTGTGCCTCCCTCTCTCTCTGCCCCTCCCCTGCTCACTCTCTGCCTCTCAAAAGTGAATAAACGTTTTAAAAAAATTTTTTTTAACAAATAAATAAATCTGACCTCCCACGGATATATAGGTGAAACAGTGAGAAGGTTTTTCAAATAATCACGTATGTTCCTTGATATTGTACCAACACTTGGCAAGCAGTGATTTCTTACAGGGTAGTTGCACTGTGGAAACTGAAACTATATAAAGGACCTCTCATTCTCTTTGACATACAAACCCATTGCTCTATCTGGCGCTTTAATTGACCTTTCACTTTTGCATGACTTTGTATCATTATACATCAGTTATTGGGAAAGACATCCTGTGGGCACAAGTGAAATGAGCGTAGGAAAGGCAATTCACATGTTAGTATTATAATGGAAGCAGTCGTGACCTTACGGACCCTGAAAGTTCTAGGGGACGCCCAACAGTTCCCAAACTAGATGGAACTGGGTCAGCTCTGAAAGCTCTTCTTACTCTAAAATGTTAAATTTCCAACCATTCCTTTCCTCAATAGTCTCTCGGAGTAAGTAAAGCCTGTTTGCTAATGCAGGGATTACTGTAAATGCAACAATGCGAGGGAAATGGATTTGTTCCTTACATGTAAAGGGTTTTGTACTTACTCCTTCTTCTCCACTCACTGTTTCATTTGGTGGAGAGGTTTAAGATGACAGAAACTGGAAGGAGCCGTATTGCCTCAATTAATAAGGGACGATCTTGAACTCCAGTCTACTGGCCCTCGAAATACAAAGGGTCTAGAATTTGGTGTGTGATTTAATGGGCAGACTTGGCAATGGATGGACAAATCAGCAACCAGAAGCATTTCCTTTTTCTACACATATTTGTGATTCAACTTTTCCCACTGGCTTTCACAAAGCTTATCGCATAGCGCAATGAACACCCTATACAAAGGTGATGACTGTAGCATTCACACAGATCTAAGATGACTCTAGAGGGAGCTATGTAAGCTCTCTTTTTCTTGCTGATACATGAGCTGGAAAAAAATAAATCTTCAGCTAAACCATTTTAAAAATAACATGGATGTTTCCTCTTTCTTCAAGATTCTTTTCCCTTGAAAGAGATCCTGTTGCTTAGAGAACATTTGTTCCTCTGGGAACAAAGAGCCATTCAGACCACTGGAACCCAGGTAATACGACCAAGTTCGGTGCCCGGTCTATGGGTTCCTTCCGCATGACCTTGGGAAAGAATTTATCATCCCAAATGCTAAATCTTCCATGTGTATCAAAACTAAAAGCTACGGTAATTGCCAACCGACAAAAATGCGTGTTTAGGCACAGACAACTTTATAGATGTGGAGCTTTGAGCAAAGCTGCTATAAAAACACATGGATCTATGAATTTGATGTGCCATGAACATATCAATTAAGTCATGCCTTTGGCCCTGTGTCCTTGATCCAGGTGTCCCCCTCCTCATTTCCCCCCTTGGCCTAGCATCCCCAAACCTTCGAAGCACAGAAGGGCACCTCAACACGGAGTCATCTGTACAGGCTTTGCTCTTTCTCTATCTCCCCTCCCAATTCAAACCGGAACTTGTCTCCCTCACAGCACCTGGCAGCATCTCCAGGCCACTCATGTTATCCCTGCATGTGCATGGTCTACTCTTCCCGGGAGGCCCTTGAGGACAGGACTCTGTCTTCTTCTATACATCTCTGAGTGCCCTTCCAGATACCCAACACAATGGTGTGCTGCTATCGGGAATGCGATTGGCTATACGGAGATGGCCATGACCCAAGTGCTGTTGTAAAGACTTTATTGGACCTACGCAGTTGATCCCACAACAACCCTCTGATGAGGAAACTAGGGCACAAAGTCATTAAATAACGGCCAAGGTCACACAGTTAGCAAGTGGTACAGCTGGAATCTGAACCTAGCATTCAGGCTCCCAAGCCTGCATTATGAACCACTAGCCCACGCTGGCTCCCAGCTCCATGTGCGATAAATTGAATCAAACAGGACTTTGGGGTCTTCAAGCCATCGTCAGTCACTGCTGCGTCTGACCCTCACAGTACACCTGTGAGGTGGGGCGGGGGAGCCTTATCCTTCTGTTAAAGATGAAGAAGTCGGGCCACCTCAGGAGTCACTAAGTTGGCAACTGATGACAGCGAACCAAGAACTCGTGTCTTTGATTCCATTTTTCCTGTGTTCTTTCCCTTATGCCACAAATCATTATGGTAAGAATCTGGTCATGCAAACTAAGCCAATAATCCAAGTAGTCTCATAAAAATCACTATTTTGAAAATATCATTAAGCCGTATAAAATTAAAGACACATAAAAGTAAAGGGACAACATTTTGGCTAAGTAAAAAAAAAAAAAAAAAAAAAAAAAAAAAAAAAAAAAAAAGCAGGTAGAAATAGGTAGACCTGCATTCCTACCAAATGTTATCAAACTGGATTTGATGCAACATTAACACAGATCAAATGTTTGGAAATTTCTCCTAGACAAGCCAATAAATAGATATAAGAAAAAATTTCAAAATACGACGTGGTTTTCTTAAGAAACGCTGCCACAGAAATGAGGAGCTCAACTAGCTCCAATGCATCTACAAATACCATCTAATTGCATTTTAAGAATTGCAAAGTGATTAAACTTTGATAAAGATGTTCTGAATTCTTGTAAAGCATCCTTGTATTTTTCTTTTCACTACATACCATGATTTAGAGCACCTCAAAATTACCTCTGAAAATGAAAAATAAACTATCCCTTGTGATAAATTTCGCTTACTCTTTTCCCTAAAATGTTTGGTAGAGTTAGCGAACACCCACCTTTGACTACAAGAACCGCTGGGGGCAGGAAAGAGTAAAGGATTGGGAGAACTCAACTGGAAAGAGGAAAAGGGTAAAAAAAATCATGATTCAAAGTGCATACGTGACATAAGGCGAGGAAAGAGCAGCACGTATATAAAACACCAGAGAAACGGCAGTCATGGGCAACTATTCCTAAATCAAAGAGCAGTGGCCACAACCGGCCTGGGAGAATCTGGGGTATATGTCCACAAAAGCTCTCGGTGGGATAGCGATGGGAAAGTGATAAGACCTGTCTTTAAGAGTCTTAGTGAAAGAAAAGAGAAAGGAAAGAAGAGATGAGGTAGGGGAAACAGAAAGAAGGGCAGAAAGAGATTCGGTGAAGAACTGGGGTAAGAAACAACAAACAACAAAACAACAGGCATTCATACTTCTAAGCCTAACATGCTGAGGGCAGACCCTGGATGCATGCAGGGTCCTCCTGTGCCCCTGGCATCCAACCCAGCCGCCTCCACCTGCTCCGCTCAGAGCCACCTGTGCACCCACCTTGCACTGAAAGGAAAGCGGATGCATCACGGTCACTGTTCTGGAGGCTGCACTTGATGTGCCCCGCGTCACGGAGCTGCACATCATGGATTATCATCTCCGAGATGGAGTTGCCGCCCTCTTCGTAGCTCGCAGAGGTAAAGCGGTCGTTGGTGATGATGGGCTTTGAGGGCGTGATGCTCAGAACCACCGTGCCATTCAGAGCCCACATGATGAGCCTCCAGCCCTGTGAGACCGTGCAGTTGAAGCGAGCCTCCGAGCCCTCCAGCACCGTTGCGTTCTTGGGACCTTCTATGATTTGATAGCTGGATCCAGAAGCTGGAAGGCAACCAGTGTTTCAAGGCGGTAAGTGAAGAAATCTGTGTAAGTCTAAGGTAGGGTTTAACCCTTCTGTATTCACCAGCTGTGGCCTCTGGATGGCCAGTGGCTCAGACCCTATGTCTTCCTGGTCCCAACACCATGTCTCCCCAGTGGACAGGAAGCCACCCATCCCTCCTTTCCATCCGCTCCCTCCACATCTCAGAGCACCTCCCAGCAAGACTGCTCCTCTACCTCCAGAGCGATGTTACCTTGATCCCAGCCTGGCCCCGAGAGCTCCCGGGTCTATTTGAGACAAGTTTTCACCTTCCCCATGAAACGAGAGTTATCCAAGGAAGTTGGGCAGGGTCTTTGATTTCCACCCCTGTGGAAATCCCAGGGCTCAGAGGGGAAGGTGGAAAACAGTCTCTCTTCATGAAGAGAATGGGGACCCCAGCATGCTGAGATCATAGCTCACTGCATGCCCCTGCACCCTTAGAGCCCCCAGATGGGATCCTTAGGACAGTGTCAAGGGCTGGATGATAAACAAGGTTGAGAGAGAAGGAATCCAGATGGAGAGAGACAAACGTTGCATCTGAGTACACGGTCGTGGAGTAATAGGTAAGCCAGTCGCCAAGTATCAAGAGAACTGTACTATCATTGATTCCATGCCTCTCCTCTTAAGGACTAGAAGAGACACAGGTGGGGAAATACAAAGAGGGAAAACAGGCAGAAGGATAAGGGAGTGGGTTCCCGTAATGATGAGAAGGATCAAGCAATGCATCTGGCAGGCTGGTAAAAAAAATCCCACCATATCTAGTGTTGGGTTCAAAACTCCAGCAGACAGGCAGGTGGCTCAAAAGCAGAAGCCCATGGACTGTCAGGTGGGGCTCCTGGCTCACGGGGCAAATTATCCCAACTTCTCCATGTCCCACTCGCCTCAGCCACAGAACAAGGGCACTGGCACCACAGTGGATTGTTTCAAAAACCAAATATGACAGTCCATGTCAAGCCCTAAACGTGACCCTCAAACACTCAGTAAACATTCATGAGCATATAACCTGCAAGAAGGAATGTGTTGATTTTGTAAGACAAGCCAAGAGTGGTGTAGATTTAAGTAGAATTGTTTCTTTCACACTTTCCACAACATTCAACCCTTGGCTCCCCAGATGCACCATAATGCTGGTTTTACCTGGAGTGACAACTTGTTTTTCTTTTTTAAGTTCATGTATTTATTTCAAGAGGCAGAGAGAGAGTAAATGCGAGTGGAGAAGGGCAGAGAGAGAAGGAGACAGACAATCCCAAGCAGGCTCTGTCCTATCAGCGCAGAGCCCGATGCAGGGCTCGATCTCATGAACCTGAGATCATGACCTGAGCCAAAATCAAGAGTCAGATGCTTAGCCAACTGAGCCACCCCAGTGACCCTGGAGTGACAACTTCTAACTGGTCTTCCACACAGTGGACCTCAAGGGCTCTCCAGCTCACATGAAAGGAATCACGATAACAGGGGATGAAGCATGTTCGTCACTGGAAGAACTCAAGAAAAATCTTTTGTCCATTTAGGACAGATGTTCTAATCGCCTTAGAGGAGCCAACTGGCAGCCAGGGTTTTGTTTT